GACAAAGAGCAGTACTGAAAACCCCACCACATGGAAACGCTTTCTAAGGTGACCACTAACCACAACTAAATGCCAAGAGAGCAATGAAAATGTTCACTGTAAGGTAAATAAAATGTTTCAAGATCCCCCCAAAAAATAAAAGAGATCCTGATTCTGCCTTGTTTACTTATAAATACATATACTCTAGGTATAAAATATAAACTTCGGGGCCAGCAGGTGGCATGGTGTTTAAAGGTGCTGGACTCCCACATGGCCGACTGCAGTTTGAATCCTGGACCTGGTGGTTTCCTTTCTCACTTTCCCTCTTTCTCTTTTTCTGTCTCTCTCTGATCAAACTGGAAACTAATAATAAACAAAATTCAATAAAATAATTCTTTAAAAAAATAAAATATAAACTTTATTTCATGCTAAGGAAAAGGTTTCAGTTAAAACAAAGATCTTATTCATGGTGTCATCTGTCTTTCAGATCTGTTCTCCTCTTCCAGAGTAAAGAAAGGAGGTAGGTTAGTACCGAAGTCTGTGCTCCAGGACCGGAAGGGTGCAGAGGTTACGGCCACCAAAGCCAGTCCTTCTAGACCCAGAGGAAGACAGTCTGGACTTCTGGTTTCGATGTTCCATGCACCGACACACAGATAGCATGAAGCACGACTAGATAGTTTTAGGAAACAATGGGACCCAGGGCAACGAAGGCCCAGGGGTCAAGTCAGTACTCTCTCACCACACTGCTACCCTCTGACTACTAAAATCAAATGCTCCATTTCCTTGTTTTCTTTTTTTAAGAATTACTTATTTAATTTTATTTATTGTCATTCTTTTTAAATTTAACCAGAGAAAGAGAGACAGAAGAGGAAAAAGCAAGGCACCAGGCTCAGGACTCAAACTACAACCGGCCACGTGGGAATCTAGTGCCGTGACTACCAGGCCACCTGCCGGCCCTGATGCCCAGTTCTAATGGCTGATACTGATGGAAATTTACATGCTACCATGGTAATGACATCTCTCCTACCTAGTGTATAAATGTCCCCTTCAATGCTCACTGGTCCCCACAGACGGGCTGTGAGGATGGCCACATACTCGGTAGCCTGACCCGGCCTCCCTGCAGCATGGCGGACACAGGAAAAGCCTGGCAGGTGAAAGCCTGAACGCAGCGGGTCCCCTTTCCACCTGCACTCGCATCTCTGTCACTCCGTCAGACATCACTGTGCAGTGCAAGGCCAGACATCTTGCTGAAAAGGGTCCCGTGTCACCAAACGTAGGTATCTACTGAGAGTTTCCTTAGACTTTAGACTTTTTTCCTTGATATCAAATCATTTTTTATTTCATTGACACTCAAAGGATTTTAGAAAGTTTCTGCCTTTGTAGCAATTCTAACAATCCATGTAGAAATTGGTCTCTCCTTAAATAACAAATTACATATCATTTTAGCATCTAATCTGAAACTTTATTTTCAAAATACTCAGTTTGGTGGACATAATTGCCACATAAATTATAATTTCCATACATAAAGAATTAATGATGAGCAATAAAATACCATATAGCTGCCACAGGGAAAATATTCTATGAAATGACGCTGACATTAATAGTTTAATAATAATTAAGTTACCACTCTGAAAGGTTAATAGTGGTATTGTTTCACCTTTGAAAACTTTTCACAATAACAATATTTTAACACAAGAAGTTCACTGGAGACTTTCATACCTATTTCCTATAAATCAGAAAATACAAATATCCCAAAATTAGGCATATCCTTCCACAGAACATTCATGCAAGATTTTAAATGGTTAAAAGCTCCTGGCGGGGCCAGCAGGTGGCATGGTGGTTGAGGCAATGGACTTCTCACATGGCCAACCATGGTTTGAGCCCCAGACCTGGCGGTTTCTCTGTCGCTCTCTCTCTTCCCCTCCCTCACTCCCTCCCTCCTCTACCACCCTCACTCTCTCTCTGTCTTTATCTGGAGAATGCATGTTAAAAAGTAATAATAAATAAGTAAAATAAATCACTCTTTTAAAAAAATAGAAAAAATCTCCTGGAGTAACAGAAAAGTGAGTACACAAAATAGATTTAAGATTACAATTAAGTAAAAGACCCAAAAGTTAGCGGTCTGAATGCTATAAAGTTATAATAACTGAGTCATGGGAAGAGACGTATCAATTTTCTATTTGCTTTTCAAAATGTGTCTGTAGGTCATTTCTCCAATCATAGAAGAGCAAAAACAAAATGAATCCAAAGAATGGTAATGGTGACCATGGGACCATGGGACAGAAAAAAAGAGTGCTGGGTTAAAGAAAATAAAAATGTGTATTTGCCATCAGTGCAGCTCCGTGTCAGCCCTGAGAGCTGGACCCACACTCGCACGGCAAGGCACCCTCCTTGCACACTCTGCAGAATTCCTCCTATCTCCTGACACATACAAGCCCTTCCCTGCTCACGGTGGGGTCCAGAAATGTTACTGTACGTACTCAGAGAAGAGGCCCTCGCCACGCTAAAGACACTGTGCTACTCCAAGGTTGAAAGGCAAGGTGAGCTCCTGGCTTCTACCCAGCCGTCTCTGAAGCAGCGTGCTAAGTTTCCTACTTCCCTAGCACGGCAGGAGTATGTTTACAGAGAAAGCTAGCCTGACATGAAAAGATAACTCGGGAGTCCCATATCCATTCCATTTCTTAAACCAAGAGAAATCAAAATGTAAACAGACAAATGGTGAAAACAAACTAAAGTTACCAAACATTTAGGCTCTGTTTGTTTAAAGTGAGACTGTTTGCTCAAAGATTATTAAATTTGCTAACGGGGTAGGGACTTCACAGCAGAAAACAAGTTGGGTACACTAAGAACACAATAGAAGAGCCTGTCAATAACGTATGAAATAAGGAAAAATCTATTATCACATTTAATTCAAGTGACAATTACTCATATAAACTTTTTCTGTGAGAATATAAATATATTGGGTATTCGGAAAAGTCATGGCACATTTTTGCAAAGAAAAACATAGAAAAATATGTCAAGACTTTTCCAATGACCCAATATAGATAAAATCAATAAAAAACCTTGTTTCTATTTATTTATGTATATTAGTTTTACTTAAAGACACATGTGCGAGAGAAAGAGGGAGTGAGAGAAGGGAAAGTGAGAACTCAACCCCTAGGGGGCGATGGCCATGCTGCAATCCCTTCTCCAGTTTCCTCTCAAGATCCTGGGCATGCATGGATATGCGTCCAGTGTGATTTTCAAACTGCTGGGTCTGGGACTCGAACTGCAGAGTCAACCATGTGTGATCTATCGCCAAAACCTTCATTCCACCTGCTGGCTCAATGAAACCTGTTTAAAAGTTCATTGAGTGGTTACTAAGAACAGCTCCAGCATAAGGGCAGGAAGGAAGCGGCACGGCCATGCAGCCAACAATGGCGGAACGCAGCCAACAATGGCGGAACGCCAGCTCCACGCAGGCACTGAGAACAGCGATGGCCATGAACAATGAGAGAGATGCCCATGCTGTCTCCAGACTTCACAGAGCAGAGCGCCCAATGGGAAGAAAAGCAGTCCACACACAAGTACAAAGGGGTGATTATTTTAGCCACTCGACACACACATACGGAGTGCCGACTGTGTCAGGTGTTGCAGGGCAGGTGGGGAAACCACAGCCCCATCGTTTAAGAAATATCTGGAAAGCTGTCCTCCGGAGACCAGTCACAGAAGTAGAGGTCGGCTTTATTTAGAGAATCGTGTAAGTCGTCCTCAAATCCCAACCCTGCACTCAGAGATCAAAGGACAGGTAGACCCACCTGCACAGTAAGCAGAGGGAACCCACGGATGGGGAGTGGTCAGAGGCCGCGTCATAGGGCGGGTCACGCTGGAGCGGAGACCTGGAAGTACCCTCTACCAGGTTTCCCCCGGCTGCAGTTAACCAACTGTGGTCTGGAATTCTGAGAGCGTGACCACGTGGACATGCCTTTACTACAGAATACTGCTCTAACCACTCTACTGTATTAGAGGCTGTTGCTAACCCCGCCCTGTGCCCAGTTTGTAAATAAAGGGGACCAAACACAGTACAGCTAGGAATCGGCACCGTCCTCAGCTTCAGGCCCCCGTGGAGGGTCTTGGAGTGATTGTCGGGGGGGAGGGGCGGTGTTGGGGGGGGCCTTCGGAAACAGCATCTGTGTCCCAGGGGATGAGCAGCAAGCAGATCATGGGGAGGGAGAAGCATGACAAAGAGGAAAGAGAAGGCAGGGGACACCGTGAGCCCAGGGTAAGAGAGGACAACCCCATCCCTATGGCTCTTCATTGTGTCACTCTTTTTTTCTCTCTAGAATTTATTATTTTAAGTTTTATTTGTTTGTTTGTTTTTATTTGATACACGGCATACGCACACACCAGAGAGAGAGAGCAAGCCACCGCCAGGTCCAGGACTCAAACTGCAGATGTCCATGTGGGAGTCCAGTGCCTTAACTACCACGCCACCTGCTGGCCCTGTGCTGCTCGCTCGCTCGCTCTTTCTTTCGTTCTTTCTTTATTTATTTTTTTGGAGAGGATTTTGCTATAGGGTACGTGCACTGGCCAGAAAGACAGAGAGAGACAGAGAGACAGAAAGGGAGAAATCACCCACCAGGGGGGATGGCCATGCAGCAATCCCTTCTCCTCCATTCTCCTCTCGGGATCCTGGGCACGCACGCACACGCGCCCGGCATGAGTTTAAGCCACCTGGTCCGGGACTCGAACCACAGTCGACTACATGGGAGTCCAGAGACATAGCCATTACACTAACTGCTGGTCCCTTATTTTTATTTTTTTATTTGCTGCTCTCTCTTAATGAGAGAACCAAGAACATGTCTTTGCGCTAAGGTGAGGATGTTCCACAGACATGAGTAAGACTCAGGGCATGAAGGAAGGCGGGGAGACAGCAGTAAGGGGAGCACCGCTCAGAAGGAACCCAGAAGTAGAGGAAAACTTGGGCTTATCATGCACGTGAACCACATGCGGTTTTCCTTTCCCGGTACAAACGAGCTTACCCCAATGACACTCAGCCCTTTCAGGTAGTCCTGACGAGGCTGGGCTTGCGGGACACATCCGGCCAGCACCACTTTCTTGTTCTCCTCTTGGGCTTTTCTAAAAGATGGAAGGAAAAAGCATGAATTCCTGTGCTCCCGAGTAAGCCCTGGGACACAGCTGTTAGTGCATTGCAGCTCTCCAAATACTCGGCCATTTAGCAAGAAGCTGGATTTTCTTATGATTGCTTAAAGGACACGCACTGTGCTAAGAGCTCTGTGCTGCACGTCTGCGTCACAGGGCACGACAGCAACCCGCTCGGACCAGGTCTTCACGATCACTGTCGTCTCACCACAGAGCAAGCAACACATCGCTAAGACGGTATTCCCAAGGGCAGGAATCGTTCTGGAAAACCACATCTTCCAAACAGACAGGCAAACACTTTAAATGTTGTCTATGTTTAATACCAATGAAAATGTGCCTAAAATTTAATATATTCTTTCCTAATGTCTAAAACAATCCAACATAAAAGCAAAATACACTTTTGAAAAACCTGAATGGGAGAAAAGAGGACACAGAAAGTTTAATACCTACACCCTAGGGGGAGGTCCCCACAACTCTCCAGTCCTGAGCCCCCCCCGACAACTTATATGCCTATTTCTAGACTCTAGACCACCCTCACATGTGTAAACAAACGTGGGTGCTTTTCATACCTATCTGTGTGTGTGTGTGTGTGTGTGTGTGTGTGTGTGTGTGGTGTACATGAATTCTGGAGAAAGAATTTCTGGACTATAGAAACCGAGATGTGAAGTTCATGCTTAGCTCTAATTATTTCCTAGGCATAAATTCTAAGAAACAGAAGGCTGGTTCAAAGGTATGTAGATCCGGTTATTGTATTCATCGTTTCTTTACTCAAGAATTAGCAGATATTTTTATGTGGACATTATCATTTGGGCACGCAGGTATACAGCAAACGCTGATTTCTGTCCTAGAAGACAGAGTGAACAAGTTTGTATAACACAGCTTCTATCTTTTTTGAGAAATTATTCACATCCTTTATTTGTAATTAAACTTTCAAGTCCACAATTCTTTTTTCAAGTACATGAACTTTGAGGTGTTTTGATGCCGTGTTTACTTTTACTGACGAATCTTAGGGTCCTGTGTTTCATGCACTGAACTGGGTCGCTGTCCCCCTTAGCAGTCCCTAGGACTTTGAAACCAACTGAGACAGCTGGGGGCACTAGCAGCCCAGGACCAGGGATGTGAGACCACACTGCGACAGAGTCCAAGTCTACGCTGACACACGTCCACGTCCTCGGTAACTCTTCCAGAAGCACACTGCAGAACTGGGGCTGAATTAACAGGACCCGCTCACGGTAATAAATAGCCACAGTGCAGTCTGGGAAGTACACAGAGAGGGATGAAGCGAATGGATGGGCAGAGTGCTCGAGGTCTATTTCAACAGCTTCTGTAAGTTTTCATTTCAATAACTTCAATATCATGTTTCCACTCGGCCTCCTGAAAAAATGTGTTCATGAAATTAAAAAAAAAAAAAACAACAGCTGACTTCGGTAGATTGCACAACACAGCCAAGGGAACGACTTCCTGGCTGCACCACCTGGCTCACTCTTCAGTCAGTACCGGGCACGCCACTGCACACGGGGACCTCTCTGGCAGTAAATGCAAGATACCTTATCACACCAAACAAAAGAGAGCCTTCCCATTTTCATCAACCGTCTTTATAGAGAACTTAACATCTGGTTGCTTCTAGGAGTTTAGTTACAAACCTGGAATCACTACCAAACTTCCAAAAGAAACTATTAATAATTAAACCCAGGGGCCAGCAGGTGACATGGTGGTTAAGATGCTGGACTCCCACATGGTTGACCATTGTTTGAGTCCCAAACCCGGCAGCTTGCTTTCTTACTTTCTCTTTCTCTCTCTGGTCAAATTTTAAAATAAATAAATGAATGAATAAATGAATAAATCTTAAAAATAATTAGACTCAATCGCGCCCTAGAATGCTATTCAATTAATTAAGAAGCACATCGAAGATCTTATGGCGACTGTTTAAGGGAACAAAGCAGCATCGGAGGCAAGGGCCCTGCACTTCACCAGCTACGGCCCAAGCACGTGAGCCGGGAGAGAACACAAGCAGACAGCGCCGCCTACGACACCCGGAGATGGGGAGATGCACCGTGGGCCAGGGCCGGGGAATGCAGAGCGGGCAAGGGAGGCTCACAGAGACATGTGGGAGGGTTTTACCAGTAGACAGAAGTACAGGGGAGGGATGGAGATGGAAAAGGAGAGCCAGGCAAAAAGTGCCCACTCAGCTGGCTCCTTTATTGTGCCCCCTACCTATACCAGTAAGAATTACTGTTCACTAAAACATCAGCTCCCACAAGGTCAACAGCAGTTCAAGTCCTGGACCTGACAGCTTGCTTTCTCACTTTCTCTCTCTCTGTCTCTCTCTGGTCAAATTAAACAAATAATAGTAACAAATTAAATTACACTAAGTACTTCTTTAAAAAAAAAAGAATTATTTTCTTAATGCATAAACACCATTTTCCCCTAAACTCTCTTTTTGTACCATCCATCTTCCCTAATTTTTTTTCTCTTTATTGCCAGAGTAGGCATGTGCTCACCAGAGACAGAGAAGGAGAGAGAGAGAGAGAACTTCCCAATGGGGAATGGCCACACCACAATCTTTTTCATCCATTTCTCCAACTGGTCAGGATTTTGAACACACATACAGCCTGCACTCAGTGTGGTTTTCAATCTGATGGAGCCAAGCCTAGAAGCATGGTCACTGAGTGGAATGTTGTTCCCCAGACACATTGCACCACGAGGCCAGTCCAAAGTTATGAGATTTAACTTTTTTTTTCCCTTAGAGGTTTTGCCTTAAGGCACATGCACTCACCACAGAGAGAGAGAAAGACAGACACAGTGAGAGGGAAAGTGAGAAATCACCCCCGAGGGATGGTCACGCCACAATTCCTTCTCTTCCATTCTCTTCCCAGGATCTTGGGCACGCACGCACATGTGCCCAGTGTGATTTTGAAGCCACCAAGTCCAAGATCCCCACAGTGGTCAGCCATGTGGGAGTCTAAGGAAACTGCCACTACACCATCTGCTGGTCCCAGCACATTTTTTTTTAACTTCAGAGGGTTTTGTTTTGTTTTAATACTGGGTCATCGGAAAAGTCATGATGCATTTTTACATAGAAAAACATATCAAGACTTTTCCGATGACCCAATAGCGGGTCCCAGTACAGCTCGGTACACACCTTGGAATCACTGCCCACTTGTAGTTCCAGCAGCCACGGCAACCACAGTGACACAGATACTGCCCGCCACTCTGTGGGGAATGTAAAGCCGACCTAAGGGGCGAAACAGACCCTTTGTGGGGAGAAGGAAAATAATGCCAAAGGTCTGCTGTGAGCAATGCCTGCCAAAGAACTACATCAGACTAACATCGACTCAGATTATCAACAGAAACCACCACCAAGAGGAGCACACCTATCTTTGGCAAAGTGACTTCAACAAACGAGAGTACCCCATCGTAGCAGACGGAAATGAGACTTCCCCTCACTATCACCACGTCACTATCCACTAAGCACAAAGTGAAGTCCAGCAGGATCGTAGAGAAAGGACCCAAAGCCACATCGCTGTGGAGAAGAGCATGCTCAGAGGGGCTCTCCCGGGTTGGATGCTGCCGTCCCGCACTTACGTGAAAAATTATGCAGAGACAGCACCAAGTAGGACGTTTTTATCTAACCAACTAACGGTTATTGAGGAATCATCGCATGGCAGGTGTGCAATATTTCTGGTCAAAAATTACATGTTAGGGAGGAAAAAGATTAAGACTGATCGCACTGTATAATCCCATCCACTTTCCATCTGAATTAACATCTCTACAATCGGAGCCCGACATTCTTGGGATACTTTTTTTATTATTAGAGCTAGCATCTCTGATCAAGTCTACTGAAATTAAGGAATTAAAGGGTCCTTTAAGTAACGGTACATATTACAAATGCACACACGTGAATATACACATACACATTTACACACATGTAAGAGAGGAAGAGAAAGGCCCAAAGACAGAGCGCCCACACCAGGTTATGCTGCCTCATTTTAATCTAAGGACAATCAAAATAACACATACTATGGAACTTCTGCTCATAAAGAAATTTAGACCATTACAGTCAACATAAAAGAAAAATCTAATTGGAAGTTAGAAACAAGAAACTCACACTCAGAATTAATGACTACAAATGGATGCAGAAGATCAAGTTATAATTAGACCCACATCAGCTGATGTGACCAGAACCTCGTTTAAAAGACAAAAGATAGGTTCATAAATTTACTACCTTCCAAACCCCTCTAAGATGCAAAGTCAGATTGGGTCGTTTGAGCCCGGCAGAGGATTGAGATGACCAAATGAGGAGATGCCCAGGGCTGTCTTCCCAGAATTACCCAGACAAAGCAAAAATGTGCACATACGAGTGAGAGTAAACCCAGGGCATTGATGGGAAACTGAGCAAGGGATCATGAGTAACCTAAGTCACAGGGTCTCTGTGTAAAACGTCAACAGGAAAGTTGTGTCCTTCCCACCAGAAACCACACATCAAAGGCGGACGTGGCTGAGAAGGTGGGCCTCCGTAACTGAAGACGGACAGCACGGACATGAGCCCTCGCCCACAGAAGCGGCTCCCAGAGTTCACTGCTAGTGGAGACCAGTACAGCTCTCAGTATGAGCGTGCTAGCTCCTGGCCCAGCGGGCAGCGTGGTGATTACAGCCCTGGGTCCCACATGGCCAAGTCCATGCTTTGGGAACCAGACTTGGAGGCTAGAAAAACTCGCGTCATGCATGTGCCTACCACACAGCAAGAGCCAAGAAGCTATCTGTCAGTTGCCTCAGTTTCTAGTAAATCCTTTCCACTCGAGTATGATTATGCAGTAGCCTTCTCTCACCTTCTTACTCCTCACCTAATTATTGAAAAACTAACATTATGGGGACCGACAGGTGGAGGGATGGTTAAGGCACTGAACTCTCACATGGCTCACTAAGGTTTGAGTCCCAGACCTGGCACCTTGCTTTCTCACTTTCTCTCTCTCTGA